GAAGGGACATTGAAAGTAGAGGAGAGAAAGGCAGCCTGTGTTTCCTTTGAATTCCATCTTTAATACTCACTTGCTTCTCTTTTCTTCCTCTTCTCTTCCCCCTTGTAGCCATGTTCCCTCAGACTTCCCATCTATTATTTTCTCCATTTCATTCTGCACCCATTCAGCACAGAGACACATTTGAATGTGGCCTCCACGGGGGCTTGTGATAAAATGGTATTTAACTGCTTTCTCCATTCTCTCACTCTCTCTCCCCACTACCAGCTTGTATTTCCCTACCTTGCGCTCACCCTGCGCTGTGAGGTCAGCTTTAAAAATGCGTGATCTCTTATTCCTTTTTTCTTATTCCGCTAACTGCTTCACACATTCTTCCCCTCTGCCAGTCATAAGCCATTAACCTTTCCTCACTTCCCACCACTCACATTTTCGTCCCTACCATCTGCTCTGTATGTCCACATGTCATTAACACTGCTCTCACTGTACTCTACATCTCCTTTCATTTTTAACCTCTCCCTGGTTTTACCCCTTTTTCTTCTGCATCAGCCCTTCATCCTGCATGGTAATCTTGCTCTTCTCTGTCTTGTTATCTCCCCCCTCCTCCCCTTCGTACACCACTGTAGTCCCTCTCTAATTGCTATCTCACTCCTGCTGTGCTTGGACCCAGAGGCTAAATGATTTTTACTGGGAGAGTAAAAGTGGAAGAACATGAAAAAAATGGAGCTGTTTGCAAGGCAACTTTTTTTTTTTTACATTATTACTAGTGATGAGTGTCTTGTCAGAAGATGTTTGTGTTCACAGTTAGTGCAGCCCTCTTATTGGCATCATCACACATTCTACTTAGTTGCCTCCATGTCATTCTACCCTTTCCTTGTTTTCCATGAAGAGCCTTTATCTGTGAAGCAGGACTCACAAGATTTCTGTTTTGTGACGTTTGAATGCGAAAACGCTGTGGGTTTTATCCATTTCTGACATAGATATATATATTGAGAATCTACTCTGTGTGTGAATCTGTGTGTTTTCCAGAATATAGAGGAGTGTGGGTCAATCTCTCTTCTCGTCAGCAGAGAAAATTAGGCATGTGTTTGCAGCAGTAGTGGAGGAAACATTCACATCTTTCACCTACAGAAAGTAAAAGTAGCAATGCCATAGTAGGAAAACATTTTGGTACAAGTTTCAGTATTATTCTGTCTGTTTTAGATCATACTTTTGTACATTTTGTATAAAAGTATTGTTTGCACACTTAAAGTTTTAAACAACTTCTCTGCAACTCATGCGACTTGGGATCTTTAGAAACTGTTGTAACTATACTTGTCTTGATGCTGTGCTTCTCTGCAAATCACCTGGGACCTGCTGTTCCTCCCTTCTGACATAATGTCACAAAGGCATATGGACACAAACTATGTGCAATGTGTGAATTTGGTCTCATATGTGCATGAGCTGTTTCCTGTGAATTCCTTGGGCATGCCATCTGATTCCAGCCACCACTTACAATACAAACTGCATTGTGTTTGTTGATATGCTTTGTATATAAAATCTGTAAAGTAACTAAAGCTGTAAAATAAATGCAGCAATGGAGCAGAAGTAGCCTATAAAGTAACATAAAATAGAAATACTAGTAAACTCAATGTAAAATGCATTTAAATAAATTGACTTTCCACCACTGGCTTGTAGCTACAGTAATAAGGAAAGTGAATATACTGTGCATGGACACATATACAGTCTCAAACACCAACGTCCTGTGACAGCCTCCTTCTCATCCGTGCTTCACGCCACCAACCTCCTACAAGCACTTTTGCAGTATCATGTGTGCACATGTTGCACCCAGAGGCGGCGTACAGAGGTGCAGGATTTATCACTAAGAGAACGGTCAATAACTCTGTTATTTATATCTCTTTAGATGCCCTCAGGCTGGTGGAATCTTTTAACTGTACTTTGCAAAACATTTTTCAGCAGTGAATATTAATGAATGAATGAACATAATAAGAGAGCTAAGTATATACTACTCTGTGAATTGGTCTGTATTGTTATAATGTCAGAAGCTGGAAGTATTTAATTACTGTTTCACACTGAGGTTTCATGTTTTACATTCCTACCGTACTGATGTGTTGGTGCCATGAGCGGCAAAGACAATAACTGAGTAATACAGGCACATTTCATTACGAATGAATTATGTATGTTCATGCTGATGTTAATGATATGCTAATGATGGTGATGATAGCCTAGGTCCATTTCCTTCTGCGCTGGTGATTTACATATGCGTGTATGCCAACTTGCCAGGTGGCTCTTACATTTAAGTTGTTATAAGGGTGAAAGAGGCCAAGATGACATGTTGGCATTTCCTCACAGAGAAGAAGAAACTACTATATATGTCACGTTTTCTTTCCACATGAGGTCTTAGCAAGTTTGCATTTCAAGAGGAGAGTGGGGGGGGTGGGGGGAACTAATCAGAAAGGGGTGGGTGTTTTTTTTTATTAATCCCAGCTCTGCTGAGGCGCCTTTTCTCCTCCAGAAAAATCAAAAAATTCTCTCACACTGCCTCTGCAATCACTTGAAACACCATTACAGACCATGTGACAGCATCAATTAAATTCACAATTATCATGGGGCACAGAAACTTCAGCGTGAGAAAATATAGTAACACGGCATCCTCTGCAAGTCTGTGTGTGTGCACGTGTGTGAATGGGTGCATGCACGCGTGTGTGTGGAAGACAGCAAGAGAGAAAAAGCGTGTTGATAGAAAGCAGAAAACTGAGTCAATTCACTGGTAGAAAAACTTCTTGCCCTTTTTTGGCAACTCTTCTGAACCTGAACAACTCTCCAGAAACACAATACAACAGTAAACAAAAACATCTTTGACGGTATCAAGCTATTTTAAGGACAACAACGCGTGGACAGCTGGAGACTCATTCTGCTGCTTCTTTTAAATTTCATTGTATTTGAGCTGTTTTCAATAATGCTTCTACAGTAACTGTTTGAAATCAGATAACGTGCTTATAAATATCCATGGAAAATTACACTGGGTGCCACTGTGTCCACAAAGTTGGCCATTATCAGTTTAACAGCAGAGCCTTTGTCTCCCATTGACATAACAGATTAGAGCCCTGGCTCTTGTTTCCAGGTTTAGCAGAGATTTATCCGGGCCTCACTGTCCGTGATCACACAGAAAACAGCATGAATCACTGCTGACGACTTTTAAGAACCCAGAGTTAAATTCATCCTTCTGATGAACACGGCTTGTGTGTATACGTGTGTGCGTGAACAAGTTAGAGCTGACTGAAGGATAGCTGTGTTGTGAGTCACAGTCAACAGTGTTTGCAGCTGATAAAACCCGAGTTTAGACTGTGTTGGATCTGGCAGGTGGACCTGCTCGTGCCTGTACAGTCAATTTCTTCATATTCTCCACTGGAGCGTGCTCAGGTCGCAAAAAGGGAAAAAACAAGCCATTGATCAGTCTACCTATAGGACCGGCCTACACTGGAGCAGAGCAGGAGATTAAAAATTTATAAGCGTATTAAGAGCATTATTCATGTGTCCCATCACTGCCTAATACGTTGGGGTACTAATCATACGCATCTCTAGCCCGGGACACACACACACACAAACACACAGTCACAATAGCATTCTGGGTGTACTCCAAGTGTCAGCACTATCATATGGGCATGTGTGTGGCTTGGCGTTATTCCCTCCTTGAGTGCCATACAATGTGCTGGCATAAATACCTGCTTGACACAGCAGATTGGCACTAATGGCTTTACACACAGTGCCATCTGTACGCTGGACCGTTAGCTCTTGCATCTTCTCCATGCCCACTACCAGTGCTTCACAGCTTTCACTTCTGAGCATCATCAGTCATAGTGCAAAGGCAAAAGCAGCCAAATTAAATGTTGGCTAATCACCGATGCACTCAGGGAGACTGTACATGACGGCTGTAGGGTCTTGACCATCTGCCTGCACCTGGATATTAAAATTTAAGAACACAAAGCAATTTGGTCCTTTTTGTCTGTCGAGTGTGTGACACCTCCCACTGAGCTGAAGTTCTTAACCATCAGGCCAAGTTCAAGCACTCACACACACACACACACCAACTTCTAACTCTGCTTTCCAACAGTCTGCTGTAGTCACACAGGGATCATTACTATTCATTTGCTCAGCAAACTGGCTACACAGGCTTATAAATTACCTCATCTACCACAGCTGGGTACTGAGACGGTTGGCGCATGCTGAGGACTGAGAGAGCAGCCATTACGGTGCACGACTCCGAGATACCTTCTGTCCGGTCAACATGACCTCCTCCACTGTGCTCTGCTCACTCCTTCAAAGGAGGAGGGAGTGTGTATCAGACACTAGTGGGGAGACATGCCCAGCCAATGATTCCAATAAAACTGGCAGAGGAGCAACAGGACTACAGCTCTGTTTGTGTTGTACTGTGTGAAGAATGCAGTGATAAATCCCGTCAAACCAAATGTAAATCACTCTCAATGAAATGGCATGAGCTCTTGCAGATCTCTGACCATGAGAAAAGAGAGCAGACAAGTCTGACCTAAAGGCAAATAAGGGAACACTTGGACTACACCTGCTTTCTGCCTTTGAGGGGAGGATCAATGGTGGAAGGAAAAAGTAAAGCTATTAATTCTCCTGGATATGTCAATTCCCATTGGCCAGTGCAGATTGGTAGTGATCATGACTAGCTCCTTGGGCAGACAGGATCTGGGGCTTTTGTTGTTGTGCCTCAGTACACCATTGATTCGCTCCAGTTTTTACGGCTACCTGGAAGGCACCACGTCACTCTGAAGCAATGTAAAATCGATCCCAATTGCAGGTTTATAACAATGCACAAAAAGAGCCTGACAGTGGGGTTAAATTATGCTAAGCACTTCTATACAGCTGAGTGGGGGGCCTGAGGTTAAATAGGTTATGTAAAAGACTTGTTAACAGAGTGTTAAATATTCATAAGACAGTTCACCTTGTAAATGATGAATCAAGTTTTTTTTTGTCCTTACCCGTCCGATGAGCACAGGTTCAGGCCCGGCATATTCTTCAATCACAAAGAACTGGTTCCAGATCCAGCTCCGCCTACTGCGAGAGCGTGACCCCTTGGCCTGCTTACGGTCATGCGCCTCCTCTTTCACCTCTGACTCTGCTTCTTCGAACACAAGGCCTTTTCCATTTTCCGGATCGACAGCTTGCATCTCAGCGTCTTTTGTACTGTGGCTCCATTGGGGTGCTGGGTGGAGCCTGAGGACGTGACTGCTGTTGGCAAGTTTGTTGTCTTGATCTGCAGGGTACTGAGCTGTGCTGAGTTCTGTTTGAGCAGTGTGAACTGACTCTGTTAATGGGTCTCTATGGGAATCTGCAGCTTTGTTCCCCGGTCTTACTCCCAGGGGCTGCGCTGTCAGTGCAGATGGAGGGGAATCATTTGTTTCTGAGGGAACATACAGTGGAAGATGTTTCGTCGATGTGAACGGTGGCTCTGTTCGACTGATCATTGCTTCTTTTTCTGGACTGAGACTGACTTCGCTGCGAGGTGTTGACAGCACATGAACAAGGTGTTTGTTCTTATTATCGCTACTGTTCGAACCTTGTGTTTCCAAGTTGTCCTGCCCTTTACCTAAAGCTGAGTTGACTTCACTTAGCTGATGAATGTGAGTGTCAGCACCCTGATCTGGAGTAAGATCCAGAGTGGTGACTGGGCTTACATAAGGAAATTCAGTCTGATTATCAAATCCATTGTGAGACAGAGTGACAGCCATATCTTGTCTCGGCACTTTCTGTGCCTCTAACTGTCTGTGATTAACGTCAATCAAGTCCCTCTTCCTGCTCCGGCTGCCCTTGCTCGGAAAGCTCAGGCTTGAAATGCTCTGCATTTGGGAATTGACAATCCTAACTAGGTTCTCTTTTGACAGAAGCTTCAGCACCCCATAACTGCCAGTGAGGTTCAGCTTTCGGGTTGGATCTGTGTTGAAGCCCACACCTGTAGCACTCAGATCAGGTCTGCTTCTGGACCTCGAGCCTGATTTAAACCTGGTTTTATTGGGGTGCAGATCAGGCTTGTGATGGATTGTGAAGGTTTTCTCTGTCCTTCCTGTTTTGCTCAAAGTCTCAGCATTCTTGGTGTTGTTCTTAACATTTTTCACATCCCGGTTTAACTCCTTGTTACTGAGTAATATGCGTGGACTTGCTTCTTTTTTACTGACAGAGTCAACCTCACGCTTAGGCTTGAAAGCTTTCATCTCCTTGTTAGCTACAGATGGAGCAGCATGATTCTGCAGTATTTTGGAATAATAAAAAGATCCAGTGTCACCAGCTTGCTCATGACTAATCAGGTTTCTAAGAGGCATTGCATTTGCATCCGCGTTCACATCCCACTGGTCTACAGCTCTGCTCTCCCCTAGCTTCATCATGTACGATCCACCCACTCCTCTCCTTCGTACAATCTTACTGGCCAAGGCACCAACCACCAGCCCCTCCCACAGGCACAGGGAAACCAATAGGAGCATATTTCTTGTAATCATCTTGTCTTGTGGTAAGATGTCCTAATTTGAGTGAGGTTTGCTGTAAGGAAGGCCTTGTTTTCGAGCTGTCTTCATTCTCTCCTCTGTTTTCCCTCTTTTCATGCCCCTCCTCTCACTCTCCCATTCGATGCCCTTCACGCTCAGCTGGAGGGCAGGTGTCACTCAGTCCTTCTCTCTCCTTCCCGCTGTTAAATATCTTCTCTATCTCACCGAGCCTCTCTCTGCTGGTTTTTTCCCGCTCCTCTTGTGAAGCGTCTCATTCAGTTTCCCACTGAGAGCTGAACACCCTGAGAGAAAAGATAAAGATAATTAAGTTAAAACTTTAATCATTGCACTGCGTTAATTAAAAGTGGAGTGGCACAGAAAGGTAAGAGAGCTCGCAGACAAGCAGAAAGGACAGAGCTTTTAACAGAGCAGCAATCACATTTCCATAAGCACGGAGGGCTGTTTAGCTCCAGAACACACATCCATTCATACCTTCATAATGACCCAAGTGTTTTTTTCTCTTACACCTATTAGACAGACAAGGACAAAGTTATCATCGTACTGTTCTAAATGGAAAAAAGATAGGATAACACATTCTGAGTATTTATTAATGGGAACAGTTGTCAAGGATTTCTAACGGCAGTGCAGCAAGGAACAAGCTACAATATGAAAGTGGCTTCATAGCACGTTGACGTGATTAATTAGCTGGATTAATATTACACTTCTGATCAGTCACTGAGAATGTCAATACACATGCCAGCTGAGGATGCAGATGAACTTTGTTGTAGGCAGCGCTTTGAGCTATCATCTCAAAGAAACCTCTGCTCTTGGCATGTCTCCAACGCATTTGAGCCTCACATGGGAATCCTGCACCAAATCAAAATGTCAGATATCAATCAGTGTGCTCGTTTTAAGACACGAGATCAATCAGTGTGCTCGTTTTAAGACACGAGCGGACAGCACTTCAGTTGTATTACAGTAATTAACCCACTTCTGAGTATGTACACCTACTTAACCTAGGTTCGTAGGAGCTGAGAGTAACCATAACCAGTGACACAGGGGTAAACAGTCATTGTGAACATTTAGTCAACATTTGAACATCAGGAATAAACAATATAAACACACAACCGGGAGGCTCGCCATCCCCTGGGTCCTGGTCAGCCTTGTCGGGCACAAGGACTGGAGTCCCACAGTTTCCACTCAGCTAAGAAAGACCTGACCTGCATTTATAAAACAGGTGTATAGTACAGGCTTTTATACTATACTGTCTACTTAGATTCTTTAAACTCATTCAAGTATTTATTGTACAACAGTAAATTTATCTATTCAAATAGAAAGATGCTTAACTATAGTTAACACCCCGTTAACTACAAGTCCATCTTACTGTAATCTCTCATGTTAACATATACCATTTTAACCAACTGTAATTCTAATGTCGGGAGTTTAGGGAAAACAAGCTAAGCGAAGCATTAGCGCGCTATATCCCGTCTCATCAAAATAAAATTCAGTTTTTCAAAATAAAACCTAAAATACATATGAACAGAAAATAAGATAAATAGTGCTCAGAAATAAATAAAAAGAAATCATTAACCCTTTCTAGGTGGGTTACATCAACATCAGCCTACATATTTGACAAGTCAATAATGTGACAGTTTGTCAGATTGCATTAACATAACATTTTCACTATTACCGTGTGTGCAGAGAAAGTCAACCATGTAAATCAGAAAACATCGATTTAGAGTGGCACTCCAAAGAGCTGGCACTTCCATAACGCTCACAAGAGACCGATTGTAGAAACAACAGTCAAAGGTCAGAATCATAGTGGCAGAGACTGATAGTTGACTGATAGTCGACTGATAGTCGACTGATAAGATACTTGAGCTCCAAAAACACTGAAACCTGCATTTCCCTTAAAGCAGCTGAAATGCATATTAGAGACTAAAGCCAACCTTGATTTGTTTCTATTTACTGTTTAGCTTATTCATTTGTGTCATAGATCTCTGCTGATGTTTGAAAACTGTTAAAGACACAGCTGAACTGGGTGACATGTTTCCTCCTTATGAAACACCAGACTCTAATATTTGTTAAGAATATCCAGAGATCCTGTGCATGGGCCCTTGACTCGTACTTACTTCAGATGCTGTAAAATGTTATGGCCGTTCAGAGCCTCTGGGCGACAGTTTTAAAGAATACCAGGGTCTGGTGTTTTGTAATGAAGAAACGCATCGCCCAATTCAGCAGGGTGTTTCCCTGATGTGTTTTTAATTGTTTCTGAACAAAAACAGAGGTCTACGGCAGAGAAGAATAAGCTAATTTAGTTTTGATAGAGTGACAGACAATCCTGAGTAGAAGAAAATCATTGTTGGTTTTAGTCTGTGTATGGGGGCAGTTGAAAATACTGTAAAATAGAAAATAACTGGCCTAACCTTAAAATGAGACCCATGTCTGATAAACGCCCTTATCTTTTGTGTCCATAGTTTGTAACACAGGCTTTTAAAAAAAAAATGTTAAGCCTCAGGCTCAGGAATATGTTCACAAATTTTGGAAAGCTCACTCTAGAGCCACAGACGACATTAAACAACTGTTTTAACAGGCTGAAAAGTGTTCTTTATTATGACCAAACTGCACGTGTTAAATCAGTGGAGCGCCCTTTCAAATGACATTCTCTCTCTCTCTGTCTCAAAACTTTATTTAACGTTTAAATATTTTGTAAAACTTGTGAGCTATGGATGAAGTATCATCTTGTCCTGTGCAGCGTGATGTGGTTTGTGGGTGTGTGACACTTGCTCCGCTGTGAGACAGACCCTGTCAGCACATTCACTGGGGCATGACTGAGGTTGGGAGGTTCCTCCTGGAATACTTTTCACCCTTTTCCTCTCTCTTCTCCTCAAGGTCCTGAGCTTTCTCTTTCTCTCTCTCTCTCTCTCTCTCTGTCTCTCTTATTATCCCTCTTTTTATAAGCAAAGCCTTTTGATGAACAACGAAGGGAAAAAAAATATTATCCACCCCTCCCTCATCCTCCGCATTCTTTTCCCACCTCTCCCACTCACCACCTGTCTCTTCTTCAGTCTATCTCCCTAAATCTCCCTCTATCCCTTCACTTCAGCTTGGTATTGTTTCAGCATCCCTTCGTCCTCGCTGCTTGCTCCCATCCTCTCTCTCATCTGTGTCAATCACAGGCCTGTCACTGTGCTCCTCAATCTCTGTGGACTCTGAGGCTTCAATCAATCAGCCAGTCTCCTTCCTCAGCCGCGCAAAACTGGAAGGGACAGGTGTCTCACTGGTTACCATCTTCACAGCCGACTCCAACACCATAATTATGCATATCAATCTAGTCATCAAATGAGAAAATGCTGCAAACAGGATTTATCTAGTGAAAATAGCTGCACCAGACTGGGCAGATTTTACAGAGCATGTCATATATAAACGTCACAGAGGCCATTGTAGAGGATGTAAATCTGGGTTTGACTGAGCGTTATCTCCAATGTACAACATGAGGAGGAGATCAGGGTGAATTCAATGACACAGCTCCTCTCTCTCCCAGAGGAACTTATCAGCTGGGAGTTTGATGGCCAGGCAATCATTGCCACGGGCTCCTTGTTAACAAGCCTGGGGCAGGATGCAAGGCAGAATATCAACGTGGCACTGTCACCAGCTGAGCACAAAGGTCTAATATTTTCATGCCAATGCGAGTTTTTTTTTTTAAGCACCAAAGTAGGAATAAAACCACTTTCATTCCTCAATTCTTTTATCTTTCATACAATTTTCGAGGACAAAATTTCACTCAGAGCAGCGTCAAGGCATTTCTGTAATGTATTGATCTGTGTCACAGTCTTTCACTTCGTGCTGTGCCTTTTGGGGAGAGCTATTGTTATGCCATTAGCCTGGGTGCACCAGCCTGTACAGCAGTAAGTGAAGGTAATTGGGTGCTCCAGTTTGAAGCACAAGGGAGCTCATATTTCCTCATTAGAGTTTTATATAATGTAATATAACAAAATTGCTGTCTTCATCTTTGTGAAACAAGCAAAGATCAGAAAGAGGATTTCACTCACAACCTTTACATACTTTACTACAGTGTCAAGTAGAGTAAATAAAGATGAGGGTAGGGTGTGGGTGCTGCACTTGGTAGCTTGGGAACTCTCACTTACTGATGAAAGTTTTATCAAATGTATCATTGAGGGATATTCTCAAAGAATTTAATATCACATGATTTCAACTGTACTGTAGTTTTAAGTACGTTCTGTACAAGTTTCTCAGTGAACTGGTTAATTGAATTTCCCCTCACTGGTCCCATCCCACCAGAAGCTCAAATGATCTTTTAGGTCTTCAGTATTGGAGGCATATCCTCGCCATTGATTGGAAGCTGTCAGCAACTTAATGAGACTGGAAATTTTAATTACGATTCACCTCCTTGCTTGATGTCTATCTTCTTTTTCTCTTAGTAACCCTCTTTGTCAATCAGACACACACACAGAGAGAACACCGCCATCAGAGCAGCAGCCTGCCCACATGCACTGTCTGCACAACAGTAAACCAACACATGCATGCAATGATGTGACTGTTGACAAAACACTCTCCAGAAAGACCATTTATTTTTTTACTTATGTATGCACAAATAAAAAGCTGTACTGAGGAAGCCGCATTTATCCAGCCTCTCATTCACATTCAAAAACACACACACACACACACACACACAAACCAGAATACTCCAAACATCCCTGAACACATAAAAATCCTTCTCTTAGCAGTTATATCTGGGCTAGTAGGAAAAATAAAGAAAGCTCTGGGGATTGCCTCTCTGGGCGCAGTGAAGTCAAAGAGAAGAAAGGAAGCGCTCTCTCATGCCAGGAGGGAAGAGAGAAAGAATCCCAGAAGAATTATGCATTGAGTCACAAACAGACGGAGAAGGAGGGAAAACAGGGACATTTGGTGGAATGGTTGAGGAACGGCAGGGGGAGGGGGGCCAGGCCCTCTCTGAAAGACTGACTGGGTAGTTTTAAGTGCAAAGCGCTGCAGAGCGTCTCCGTCCTCGCTTTGAACCTTGGCAGATAAAAGTCGACCTGTCAGTGCATGAGGACGTGAAAAGCAGCAGGAGTTTTTGTCTGCTAATATACGAATTCCTTCTTTGCCCGTGTTCCCGGCCTTGTCTCTGTCTCAGCCTTACTGATATAATGACAGCAGGTGATAACCTCCCCTGGGAGGATATACAGTGGTGCCAGCCTATAGACATAAGATATTCCCTCTGAGGCAGGAGGTTTGTGGAGGATGAGGAGATAACGGTAAATAAACAATGTGACAGTGC